CCGCCCCTCCCTGTCTTCCTTCCTATCTTCCTCGTCTGCTTTCTCCAGGGCCTCTTTTGCCCGGGATTAAACTTAACCGCGACAGAATTCCCGGGGTCATTTACACTCCCCTGAAGGCTTTTATTAGAGTGCTTTTGCCCTTCTCACCTCAAAGCATTCCTTTGTCCCAATGCGCATCCTTCTGACACCGGCAAGAGAAAAAGACCCCCGAAGGATCTTGTCCATTGTCAACTTGACCTTTATTTTTTTCTGCCATTCACTTTCCCCTTCCTCTGATGTAGAGGTCTGTGTCTTCCCTAAATGTTATGCAACTGGTGCTAACCAAGAACAAAAATCACTGCCAATTGTTCAACCCACAGGCAAAGCAGTTTCACCACTGAACATCCAGTAAAGCCAATTCATCCATAAATGTCCAAGGAATATAATAAATATAAACTCTTGCTTGTGGAAGACACTATTGATGGCTCAGCTCCCCCACATATAACAACAACAAAAAAGAAAGAAATTTATTCACTTTTCAGGACTGACTAGATGCTTTTTAGCAACTGCCTCCGTATCTGAATGATCATGTATCTGAAAATGGATTTTACAACAGTTCCCAATAACCAAAGAGCAAAAATGTTTAATTGTACAGTTAATCAACAGGCGATAATAACGTAATATTGCAATAGCTTTTATAGTGTTTGAATGCCATCCCTAATAGCTGTCAAAAGAGATGAGATTTCACATTTTAATTTTTCAAATCAGAATACTCTAGAGCTAAATCAATGAAAAAGATGACATATTCCCTTCTTTTCAAATAGATTATATACACAGAAAGCTATATTATAGGCTACTCTATCGACTGCTAACTACTTTGAAGAAACACAGGAAAAAGTAAAAATTATTTAAATTATTTTAGGAAACGTGTGTGTTTAATCTCTTAATGAAAACATGAAATTTTTACTCGTTCAGAGATTCTATGGGCTTTCCTCTGCAGTCAGACCAAAGATTTCAAATCTCCTTTGAGTTAACAAACACTCAAAGGTCAAACTCAAAGCATGTGTGTATTTTTTGGAAAAACTGAATCTTTGCTATTTCACTGTTCAGGTCATATTTCTTAGAAAAGTGCCTTTGCTCTCCATATTTTGCCCCCAAGTTCAAGGGCTTTCACAGCCTGGCATGCCTTTCTGCACCACCAGAAATCTCACTCTCCTCCCTTGCTCAGATACTGCAAGCCTCCTGGCTGCCTCCAGCCTTCACAAGGGGCTTTTTTTCAGCTTTCTTGCTTTTCAACATCTTTTTCTTTTTGTGCTGTATTCAGAGGACAATGTGCTTTCCTCATTTGTAAAACTGGAGTAATACCTATTCTAAATATTTCCCAGAGCTATGACAAAGAATAAATAGATCACATATGTTAAAGCACCTTTGCAAACTCTAATGTGCTGTACAAATGTCAGGCTGCCTAGTTATAGATTGCACCCAGATCAGCTTTTTTGCTCTTTTGAAAATTTATTCTTCACATAGGTTGTGCTTTCCTAACTTCTACTGCTCATCCCTGTCTTTTCCACTGAGGTTTATAAAATTTCTCATAAATTGTTCCTCATATTTGGAATCTTCTCACCAAGTAGATCCTGTATTCTACAAGTTTTCCCAAGCATCTTTGTTGTTGTTCCTGTTATCTTTATTTTACTAAATTTTTAAAAGTCTTTATTGTTTAAAGTATTACATATGAATCCTTTTTCCCCCATTGACCCCTCCCTGCTTGTTCTCACCTCCCCACACATGCCCTCACCCCACCCTACTGACTGTGTCCATGGCTTATGCTTATATGCATGCATACAAGTGCTATGGTTGACCTCTCGCCCTCCTCCCCCCACCCCCATCTTCCCCCTGAGGTTGGATAGTCTGTTTGATGCTTCTATGTCTATGTCTCTGGATCTATTTTAGTTCATCAGTTTATGTTGTTCATTATATTCCACAAATGAGTGAGTACATGTGATATTTATCTTTCTCCAACTGGCTTATTTCACTTAGCATAATGCTCTCCAGTTCTATCCATGCTGTTACAAATGGTAAGAACTCCTTCTTTTTTACAGCAGCATAGTATTCCATTGTGTAGGTGTACCACTGTTTTCTAATCCACTGATCTGCTGATGGGCACTTAGGCTGTTTCCAAATCATAGCTATTGTAACTTGTGCTGCTATGAACATAGGGGTGCATATGTCCTTTCTGATTGGTGTTTCTAGTTTCTTGGGATATATTCCTAGAAGTGGGATCATTGGGTCAAAAAAACCAAGCATCTTTTTTTAAAAAAACTCCATATGCCAGCAACCTTATAAGTTAATTTTTAAGTTACTTTCATTTCCAGTAGACTGTGTAACAATCCTTTCTTATAATCCTTCCTTTTGTGCAGGCAAATGCACCAAAAAGGCAACATTTGAAGAGGACTAACCAAGCAAGTAATGGCAAAGGTTCCTCACAACAGTTTAGATGCTTCTACGTTCTGTATTACTAACAGTGAGCTGCTAATAATGCCTTGGGAATAGGAAATTGGAAAAGAAGGAATGACTTCTTTATATGCACTTATTTGATTTTTGAAAGACACATATATTTAGAATCATGTGCTGTCCTTTATCTATTTTAATGTCAATTATATGAAGAATCATAGCAATGCATGAAGGAAAGGACCAGTAGTCACAGACATTTCTTTTCCAAAGTTATGTAACTGCTAGTATGCCAGTTCTCTTTCCTTTCTTTCTTTCTCTCTTTCCTTCTTCCTTCCTTCTTTCTTTCTTCCTTCCTTCCTTCCTTCCTTCCTTCCTTCCTTCCTTCCTTCCTTCCTTCCTTTCTTTCTTTCTTTCATTTCTCATTCTTTCTTTCTATACACACATCAAATTATATATTAATATTCCTCTTTTTTTAAACATGATCAGCTTTATACTTTATTTCATGGATTATCCTTCCTTCCTTCCTTCCTTCCTTCCTTTCTCTCTCTCTCTCTCTCTCTCTCTTTCTTTCTTTCTTTCTTTCTTTCTTTCTTTCTTTCTTTCTTTCTTTCTTTCTTTCTTTCTGTGTGTGGATTTTAACACTCAAACAGAGTGCCCCAAAAGTTAGTGGGTCCTAAATAACTCATAAAAAGTAACATATAAAATGATGAGGGAAAGTTTAAATTCTGGATATTATTGTTACATTTTTCCTTTTAAAATTATTTATACTAATATTAAAAATTAGAATTGTAAGGAATTCAAGGCAACATGGGGCTGCCAGATACCATCTTTTCTACAAGTTTATTTGAAACTACTGTACAAAGTGTAAATAAATCGATTCATTTTTTCCTTTGCTCTCATCTTTGTCTGGAATTCCTCAACTTCGTTTGAACCTATTTATCCTGCATAATGACACTGTGTTTGCTTTAAAAGTTACTGCATTCCAGGAATTTGGGATCAGTCACCCTGTAACTTTTCAGGGGACGACCTCTTCTCTTTGCCACTAGGAAGCTTTTCCCAGAAAGGTGGGGCTGCTTTTGATTAGACATGACTGAACAAGCAGCTGCCTTTTAAACAAGTTATCATAGCAATCCTATTTAATAAAGGGGGATATGCAAATTGACCATCACACCATCACAAAGATGGTGGCACACATAGCCACAAGATGGTGATGCCCAGTCCCCTCAACCCTGTTGGAGTCCCCCAGTCCTTTCAGCCCCGCCGGAGGGGGGGGAGGGGAGCAGGCCCATGGTGCGGCCGGACCCGCTCTCAGCCCCCCAAGCCACTTAGGGCCAGCCTGAGGTGCAGGCTAGCCTCGGATGGTGGCTGCCCAGCCGCCCAGGGCTGCCCAAGGCTCAGGTAACCAGGGCCATCTGAGGCTTGCGCTGACGGCAGTGGCAGCAGCAGAGGTGTGATGAGGCATCACCTTCCCCTGATTGCTGGTTCGCCTCCCATCCTTGAGGGCTCCCGGACTATGAGAGGGGGCAGGACAGACTGAGGGACACCCCCTCCAGTGCATGAATTTTCATGCACTGGGACTCTAGTCAATGAATAATTGTTATAATTTACACATTCATTACTAATGAATTCATGGATGACAGC